CGCTAGGCCCTTACTAACGCGTTACTAGGCGGTTGCTAGGTGGTTGCTAGGCGGTTGCTAGGGTAATTTGGGTGGTTGCTAGGCAGTTGCTTGGGTACCCTGGGTGGTTATTAGGCAAGCCTCACATACATGCCTGATGAAATATTTATACTTAGTAAGCATTTCTAGCAAGTTACAGTACTTGGCTAGTCAATATTAGCATGTAGCTAGTCACTGCTAGCATGTGTAGCATATAGGAAGTTCCGTTTGCTAGCATGAGTCAAACGAGCCAATCCCCAAGTCTCTACAATGTTCTGATACTGAGATATACCTGTTGATGAATGGTTGCTAGGGTACTCTGTTTTGTTGCTATGGGCGAGGTTAAAGAGTGAACTTGAATGTGGTTGGCTGTCCAGGTCAAATGAACCAACCCAAAGTCTCTATGACACTTCTATGTAAAGATATGCATGTAAGCCACTTATAATGACAGTCTATGGGACCAGTTTGGGGGCGTGGCTTGTGAGCTTCATTATCATATTGAGATGCTCATTGGTTTTCTGAGTCAGATGAGCCAACCCCCAAGTCAATAGGACACTGCTTAGCAAAGATATGAATGTAGACCAGTTACAATGGCAGTCTATGGGACCAGTTTGGGGGCGTGGCTTGTGAGCTTCATTATCATATTTAAAAGCTCATTGGTTGTCTGAGTCCAATGAGCCAACCCCTAAGTCTATAGGACACTGTTATGCAAAGTTATGCATGTAGACCAGTTAAAATGGCAGTGAACGGAAGACTTATCAAGGGTATTTAAATGGATTTGGGGGCGTGGCTTATGAGCTTCATTATCATATTGAAAAGCTGATTGGTTGTCTGAGTCTAATGAGTCGACCCCCAAGTCTGTATGACACTGCTATGCAAAGATATGCATCTAGCCCTATTATAATAGAAGTCTATGGGACCAATTTGGGGGCGTGGCTTGTGAGCTTCATTATAATAAAGTGATGCTGATTGGTTGCCTGAGTCAAATGAGCCCACCCCCATGTCTCTATGACACTCCTATGTAATGTTATAGATGTGTGACATTTATAATGGAAGTCAATGGGATCTGCAATGGGACGTCCCACCCCATGTTAAGTCAATGGGGCAGTTATTAAGGGTCTTTAAGTGGTTTGGGGAGGCGTGGCTTGTTAGCTCAAATATCATAATGAGATGCTGATTGGTTGCCTGAGACAAATAAGCCAACCCCCAAGTCAGTATGACACTGCTATGTACTGTGATTGACATATGACATTTATAATGAGAGTCAATGTAATGAATGGGAGTCAATGGGCAATGTAAAGTCAATGGGGACCATTTTGGGACGTCCTGGCACCCCAGGGGAACAAACTATACCCCCTTTCGGGGTATGTTCTCACTTAGGCTGCAACCCCCTACAGATGTTGTGAATCCCATATTTCTATGAAATTCACAATGGACGCAGTGATTGGTTAAAGTTCGGCTCCATGTAAAGTCAATGGAGACTTTGGGACGTCCTAGCTCCCCAGGGGTATAACATTTACTGCCTTTCGGGGTGTGGTTTGAAGCCTCCTATAACCCTCTCGAGATATCGCGAATCCCATGTCTCTACGAATTTCACTGTTGGCGCTACGGCGATTTCCGGGAATAGTATCTTACGAGTGTCTAGAAAATGAATGGGAGTCAATGGGCCAATGTAAGTCAATGGGGACCACTTTGGGACGTCCTAGAGCCCCAGGGGTGCAACTTATAACCCCTTGCGGGGTATGTTCTCACTTAGGCTGCAACCCCCTACAGATGCTGTGAATCCCATATTTCTATGATATTCACACTCGGCGCAGTGATTCGTCAAAGTTCGGCTCAATGTTAAGTCTATGGGATTTTTGGGGGGGTTTTTTGGCCCCTGCGGGGCCAAAAAAACCCCCACCCCTTATAAAAGTCATAGCACACCATTCCCGATAAGACCGCACGATTTGAGCCCACTTTCAAGGGTCTGGGACGAAAGCTGCGGGACTAGTTACGCGCCGAAAAATAGGACGGAAGAAGGAAGAAGAAGAAGAAGAAGAAGAAGGAAGAAGAATAATAAACCACAATAGTAAGAATGGACTTTGCCTATGGCAAACCCCATTAATAACAATAATAGTAGTAGTTGTTGTTATTTATTATTATTAATAAACTGTATTCTTGGTTATATTTATTACTATTATAGCATTTATCATCAACAATATTAAAAATTATTATGGCGATGCGGTGGTGCAGTACGTAGTGCTATCGCCTCACAGCAAGAAGGTTGCTGGTTTGAGCCTTTGCTGGAGCTGTTGGTGTTTGCATGTTCTCCCTGTGTTGGCGTGGGTTTCCTCCAGGTGCTCCTGTTTCCCCCACAAGTCCAAACACATGCGCTATAGGGGGATTGTGTAAGCTTAATTGTCCATAGTGTATGAGTGTGAATGAGTGTGTGGGTGTTTCCAGTCATGGGTTGCAGCTAGAAGGGCATAAAACATATGCTGGATAAATTTGCGGTTCATTCTGCTGTGGCGACCCCGGATTAATAAAGGTACTAAGCTGAAAAGAGAATGAATGAAATAATAATTATTACCAATTATAAATTTGTTTTATAATCAATAATAATGTGTACATTTTTGTCTTCAATATTAAGAATATCAAAGCCTTATAGTAATATATTATTTATTGTTTATCATTATTAATAGTTTGTTGTTTAACAATATTGTTAGTTTTATTTATTATTACTATTATATCATTTATTATCATCATCATCATAATGATGATCATCATTAATAATATAATTTTGTTAGTGTCATAATTAAGAATATCAAACCTAATAATAATAATAAATGTTGCCGTCTATATTATTATTATTATTATTATTATTATTATTAAAAAGTGCTATTTCTTCTTGGTCGATTCTTTACTCCTGATTTTGACTTAATAGATGACATTTTAATGCATGTTTTATAAGTATTACAGGTTGTAATGTCATCATGTCATTTGTATCAAGGATAATGTACAGTTTCAGTTTTTTTCCACCTTTTTTTAAAGGCTTCTAGTTGAGGTTTATTTTTAATTTTCATCATGCATGACTAATTAAATTTGCTGCAGATTTCCCAATTAATACGGTCACATATTTAGCAGACTTGAGCATCACCGCAGGGCATAATTAACATTAAGTTTTAATCACATTGGCTTATCAGTATTGTTTTTGTGTTAATTATAATAGTGAATCTACAGGATTTTCTCCTTATCACTTATTTCGGTTTTCAGATCAAGCACAAAGGGTTTCAGGATTTTCAGAATTTGTGTTCATAAACGTTTCTTTATCCGCATGTTACACTCTTATTATACCCATGCATATAATAATGAAGATTGGAGTGATGATGCTGAAAATGCATGAATATTTACATTTTAATACACAGTGCTGATCATAAATGAGCACACCCTGATTTGAAAAGGAATATTGACATTATATTTTGATGCATTTTAAATAAAAGCAGTTTTATTATTATTAACAGTTAGATCCATTAAAATAAGAGTTTGCTCACAGAACATCTACAGGAATAGAAAGAAAATGCATTTTAAATACAATCAGAATGTTGCAAAGTAAATTACAAACTAGTTTCTGTTGAGTTTTTATTTATTTTAATGTTTAAAATTTTTATTTTATCCCAAAATATTTGTGCATTAATTAACATTATTGTAGGACTGATCTTTTTTTTTTTTTTTTTTTTTTGTTAGATTAGTTGATCAGTTTTGACTTTGGTAATCTAATATGTATATGCACAAATGATAATATTGTAAAGTAACCTGTAGAAAATATTAACGTGAAAGGGAGATGTGTGAGGGCTAAACTCATTTTAGCTCAGCTATTGCATACCCAAATGAGAATAGAAGTTTTGTAATTTAATGTTTCACATTTTGACAACATTTTGGAGGAACACACGTGCAGCCTTGAGCAGAATGTAAACATTAAGCCAATGTATGTTTTCTACACGTTCAAAGTTCATGGATTTAAGGGGTCGTGTGTATGTATATCCCCGGTTATTTACTTTTCTGTGAAATAATCAGGAGCATTTATTTTATTTCTTTTATATATATATATATATATATATATATATATATATATATATATATATATATATATATATATATATATATATATATATATATATATATATATATAAATTTATTATTATTATTATTATGTTTAAATACTTACGCAAGTTAAGTGAAAGCCAGCTTTGTCAATTCCACCATATGTACAGGACATATAGAGAATGGAAATTGCGTTACTCAGACCCTATAGGTGCCTAACATATAATATGAATTCAAAAAGTAGAGTTTTAGGAAAATTTACAATTATGCATGAAATGTGATCTAAAAATAAACCCAAGATGCAGTCTACAAATATACTAAAGAATACGTAAGCCTTTGAAAAGCTCTTTTACTCGTGCAATTAATGTCTAACCTAATGATTTGGGAGATTTATATTTTTCAATGCTATTTAGGATAAATATAATGTAAATTAGGACGCAGAAAAAGTGTTGCATGCAGGACTGTTGCAAACAATTTATTTGTTGAATTTAAACAAACAAATTAAGTTTAATGTTCAACTTAATTTTGTTTGTTTAAATTCAGCATAAATAAATTGTTTACAACCACTTAACGCAAAAAAATTGAGTAAATCCAAGGAATTGTTTCTGAATATTTTTTTTTGAGGTTAGTTTTTGTTTTAAATTAAAGTTTAGTTTATTTAATTAATTAGTCCTTCGTTACATTAGACACTCCAAACTTTTTTGTTCATCTTCCTTTAGTATTTGAGCCTTCAGGAATCTGTTTGCATGTTTTAATTAGGATTGGTTGTGTTCAGCACTTTGGGCAAAGCAGTGTTGTAAATGTGCTGTATGAAACCACAAACTGCTACAAACAATTGTTTATTTATTTATTTTTTAAAGCATCTGTTAAATGATGGTAAATGTGTGTCTGCATTACAGGAGACTGGTGTGCCGGTGAACGTCTCTGTTCGGTTGCAGCTCAACCTTTTCTTAAAGAAAGTTTCGGGAATCTCGTAAGTAGAAAACTACACACTCCTGTAGGTTGATGAAAATGGCAAATAATATATAATTTTAGCCAGTTAAGTTTATTTATTTTTTTAATTGATTTTAATTAGTTTTTAATTTTACTTTATTATTTGTTTGTTATGTTGCTTTTGTGCATTTATGTATTTTTTAGTGCACTAATATTTTTTTTTTACATTATTGCTCGTTTTATTTACAGCCCATTACTCTTTTCTTTATCTCTTTATTACTGGAAATACCAAGTTGTATTATTTCATTGAACTTAATCTTGGTTTTTGGTCTCTGGTTAGTTGCTTTGCTAAAACGGTTTTAAAGAATTGCGTTTGTTGTGACCCCTATTAATTATAAAAAATCTTCAAGTCTGACACGTCTTTGAGACAAAAAATAAACTGCACTAAATGAAGATGAGTGTCCAACAATGAAAATGAATCACTCGCATGCTGTTTATATATTAAGAATTTATTATTATTATTATTATTATTATTATTATTATTTATCAATATTATTATTATTATTATTGTTTATTATTATTATTATTATTATTATTTTATTATTATTTATCAATATTATTATTATTTTATTATTATTTATCAATATTATTATTATTTTATTATTATTTATCAATATTATTATTATTATTATTGTTTATTATTATTATTATTATTATTATTATTATTGTTATTACTATTATTATTATATTAGTTAATTAATTTATTATTATTATTATTATTATTATTATTATTATTATTTTATTTATTTATTTTTTTTCATTTTCAAATTTTCATTTTGGTGGTCACAACAATGTACACTCAGGAAAAAAGGTACACCTTGGTACAAAGAATGCTCCTTAAGCAACAGATTTGTACCTTTGTGAAAATTGTACCCTAAATAGTACAGAAAAATTCCTCTTATGATACTGTTCTCTACCTTTTTATGGAACAATTGAAATGAAGGTACACAATTGTTCTCATTCAAAAGGTACAAATTAGGCCCACATGGAATCTGCATGTGCAGATTTCCACAGATTTTTAGCCCATCATTAATTATTTTATTTACTTGAGTAAATGTGTGAATCTTTTTATTCAGTTTTTAAATTAATTTCAGTAATATTATTGACTAATGTGAAAATGTTCATCTGATTTATGCACAATGCAGTTTGTACAGTAATATTTTCGGTCTTTTAGTAGATATATAAGAGACTTGATTTGTTTACAAATAAGTGGATCTAATTGGATTTGCATTTTAAACAAAATAAAAGTTTAAAAGGTATTACTTTCTATTTCACGTATTAAGGTTTTAGTTATGATACTCCCAAAATAATTCAGCAGAAATCCACAGACTTTTAGCAAAATTCTCGGCAGAAATAGCAAAAAATGTCTGCAGATTCCATCTGGCCCTACATATTACAATATCTATAAATTAATATTACTGGAAAGGCGAAGTGATTTTATGATTAATTTCCTTATTAAAACATGAATCATCCTTTAAAAGCATGCGTTTAAAGAAAATCATAAACATTTAAGTTCTGTAATACAATACAACTGGTAAAACAAAATTATTGGTGTTGTAAACTAAACATTTAAAGCATTTTTAATAAACATTTAGTGAGCGTTTTATGATAATTACAGCTTCATTGATCTCCGCACATTTTGGCATTTGCTTTCCACTACACACAAGAGCTGGCAAAAGTCCTGCATATGCAGTGTTCATGCAGACATTAAGTATTGTAAAACTGATCAAACATTGTGCACATCTCGTTATAATAATTTTAAAATGGAAATAGAGGGGTGCAAAATTAAGTAAAATAACTTTTACGTGAATAAAAAGGTATTGTGTGGACAATGGATAGTGTTATTTTAGATGTGAGAATGTACTGCTGTAGCATGTGTGGGAAAATTGTTGTGGAATGTTCAGCAAAAAGCTCTTGATTTGTGTTAAAGTGTTTTATTGTTATTGAATAAGTTGGATTTTCACAATTTTTATTTTTATTATTAATTTTTTTTAACATTGTTTAAAAATGTGTTTGATTTATACTTCCTGAAAATGACACATTTTGAATTTAGGAAAAAGCCTTTTAAATAGTTCTTGAAGGAGCACATTTGACACTGTCTGTACAAAGTGTCTCGTCACTGTAGTGATGCCTTCATGGATCTGATTTGTCTCTTTGATGAAGGCACAATATTGAATCTGCAGGTTTTAAAAACCCAAAGGTACATTTTGGTTTCCCATGATGCAAATCATGTCCTTAAAGGTACAAACTGCAACAGTACAACATTGTTTCTTTGTCTTAAGGTACAATTCTGTCCCATAAAAAGGTGCTGCTCCAGTGACAAGGGTTTGTAGCTTCTTTGGTACAATGTACCATTTTTTTATTCTGAGAGTGTGTATATAAGGTACAATTCTGAGAACAAGTAAATAAATAGTAAAAGAATTGACAAGGTTAGTGTTACTCATGTTTCTCCAACATCAGACTTCAAACTACAGTTTTTTTTTTTTTATTAGAGGAATAAAAACCTAAAAACAGCCTGTTTGAGAGATCCGACCGCTCTCTCCTGCTCTTGTGAAATGTTTGTTTTCAGTCTCTCTCTCTCTCTCACTGCTGTCTGCTGTGCTTTTGCTTGTTTCAGAGAAACAGGGAATATAGCGGAGGTGGTGATGCCCATGCTGTGGTTTGAAGAGGTGAGCTGAAACGGAACACTACAACATAAATCCAACACCTGAAAATGTCCATTGCAAGGGTGTAAAACTGATTGAAATGACATGCAATGAACATTTGCTGTGTTTTATCCCATTTCAGCGAGAATATTTATCTATTTTTTTTTATATATAAATGAAAGTCATTTTTATCATTTGTGGTATTAAAGTAATTTAAGGAAGCAAACCAATTATGTTTTTTTGATGAATGGTTAATTTCACTTTAAAGCTGAAATCTGACTTACATTAGCTGAAGTTGTGAAAAGGTTTTCTTAAGAAATAAAAAAGTAGCTTTTTTTGCAAATAAAATAATTGAATATCCTTGTCAAAAGTGGAAAATCACCATAACTTTTTAAAAGGTACCTTGTATCTTTCCAAAATGAATATAATTATACATAATGCCATGTGAAAAATACAAAATAATTACATGTCTCCTGTGAGCAGCTGAATCCTATGATTCAACTGAATCAAAACTAACCACGTTTTAACCAAACATCAGTCAATTACTGATGTGTGACAATCTACATTTGTAAAAGCGCTGTAGAAATAGATGAATTAAATTAAATATTTAAATGCTTTAAATAATTTTTGTACAAATTTGTTTAATTTTCACATTTTCTTATTAATACTCTTTATTTAATAACTAAAATGTATGTATTTTTATTATTAGATAATTTTATCTGATTTAATTTTTATTAATTAGATTTTTCTATTTTTAATTTTACTTTTTTTTTTTTTTTTATGATTCTATTTTTATTTTCTTTTTCTTCAATAATTTCACAATACAATCAGTTTACACATTTTACCTCCTTTAAACATCCCCTTATCCCTCCCCTACAGCGGCGGTACTGTCATTGAGTATTGCTATTGTAGACCCTGTAAATACAAATACTTATTAAACTCCATAGGAACAGTAACAATACAATAATACATAAATAATTTTAAAAGAGATATATATATATATATAATTACATTTTTGGTGTGCGTCTCACCACAATGGCCTTATTCCTTCTCGAAAAATGGCAAGTAATTTCCCCATCTTCTCTGATAAACATCCACTTTATCTAGTATTCTATGTTATTTTTTCATATGCTGCCACCTTCCTCAGTTCTGTAACCCATTCTTGAAATGATGGTGGACCCACTGAGCACCATCCCCTCATAATAACTTGTCTTCCAATCAAAATACTCAATTGAATCCATTCACACCTTCACACCATTTCCCAATACAAGCGGGTCTCCTAATATATCTGTTTATTTACTTCTATCATGACATTAGATTTACACCTGATTAATACCGCTATTTTCTTTTTCACAACTGTGAAGCTGCTCAATAAATAAGTGCACTGACTTGCATTGAAGAAAGTCTCATTATACCAAAGCAAGGGTGTCCAAACTCTGTCCTGGAGGGCCGGTGTCCTGCATGATTTTTGTTCCAACTCAATTTAAACACCTGAACCAGCTAATCAAGCTCTTTCTAGGTATACTAGAAACCTCCAGGCAGGTGTGTTAAAGGAAGTTGGAGCTAAACTGTGCAGGACACCGGCCCTCCAGAACCGAGTTTGCACACCCCTGTACTGAAGTGTGAATTTTATTTCTGTGTTTGTCAGAGCGGCTACATCGACGGACCCGTCCTGCACACGTTTCGCACCAATCTGGTGGTTCTGCCAAAGGTCATGGAGTACATGCAGTACATCTTCATCGCTCTCGGCCTCGCTGCCATCCTGACTGCTGTCATATTATTCCTCACCGATAAGGTACGAGACTTTTATACGCATGATCAGTTTCACTAATCACCTTTCCTCCAGAGAGGGCTTCACAGATGCGCTTTGGCGTTTCAGCAGGTAAGGTTGGTTCATAGGAAAATATGAAATATGCTCATTTTACTCTCCCATACACTGTAAATGTAAGTTATCAGTTGTGTGTATTTTGTGATTCGTGGTTTTATTTATGCTTTTGAATTGCATTATGGGAGCTTGATCTTCTTTTCAAGCTAAAAAGTGGCTTTGAAGGTTGAAAATAGTGCCTTTCATTGTCGTGTGTGGTAGTCTGCAGTGCTATATTGTCTGGTGTTGTATATTACGCTGAAGAAACCTTGCAATAAACAACAGAAAAATCTACTGGTGGTTCTACAGGCTTATTTCTCTAGATATTATTATTTATTTTATACATTATTATCTCAAACAGCTAAAATGTCAAGTCGCTTTGTAAACTGGAGTTTGTCAACTGCCTGTTGACGGAGCAGAGATCAACATCCCATAATGCAATTCACAACCGTAAATAAACCCGAAATTTGGAAACTGTTCATTAACAGATTTTTCTTCAGTGTAGTTAAACAGTTTTACCACTTTTTTTTAATCCATTCTGCAAATTTCTGAATCTAACAGGAGCATTTTTTTTTAGCTTAGCTTAGCATAGATCATTGAATCTGATTAGACCATTAGCATCTCTCAAAAAATGGCCAAAGAATTTGATCATTTTACTAATGTAAGAGGACCTATTATTTAATAAAGACTTATTTAATAAACACAGGGGTGTCCAAACTCGGTCCTGGAGGGCCGGTGTCCTGGAGAGTTTAGCTCCAACCCTAATCAAACACACCTGAAGCAGCTAATTTTATTTTTTAATAAATAAAAAAATTCTAAATCATGAACAAAGTAACAGTTTTGTTACACTCCCTCCAAATCGTACACTGTTATAAAAACCTCCTGGTTGCCTTAAATTAAGTTGAATTAAATTAACCTTGAGTCCATTGAATTTATATCATGTTAAACTGACTTAATTTTATAAGTTATGCAATCTGTTTAAAGTTAAAACATAATTAACTTGGTTTAAAAAGTTATAATGAACTAAAGGCTCGTACACACTGGGTGCTTTTCGTTTTGGTTCATCAGTGTTTTACGAGGTGTTTTTCGGGATTCAAACCCAAGCGATTTTTTTTTTTTTTTTTTTTTTTTAATTATTTTTTTTTATTTATTTATTTATTTTTTCATTTTATTTTATATATATATATATATATATATATATATATATATATATATATATATATATATATATATATATATATATATATATATATATATATAATTTTTATTTATTTATTTTTTTTATTCATTTATTTTTTTTATTGTTTAGTTATTTTATTTATTTATTTTTTTCCTCCACTGGCGTCGAGCAGAAGAGTGTGCAAAATTACCCATTGACAGGAAGTTAGATGGCGCTACACACCTTTAAGCTTCTGACACCCCGCTTTTAACACAGAAGACGACAGATAGTTGACACGGCGAATCGAGCAAGCATGGCTGGTTCTAGTAGCAGCTCTAGTGGTAAAGAAATGGTTATAATTTACCAGAGAAATAAGCAGCTCCACGTTTATATCACCTCTGGGCATCTTCTTCAGTTTGCGCTCACATTGACAGTTGAACTTATGGAGTCCCTAAAAACACATGGTGGTGGAAATAAAAAATAGCTAATATTATGAATATTTTGCTAAATCTGAGCTTAGTGTTTTGTTTAACTGGAAACCGCAAAAGAAAAATGTTTTGGAGCCGCAACCGACTGTGTGAGCTGTAAATCGGAAAATTATTGACACTCTTTAGTCAATTTTGTGTGAGATGCTAACGGTCTAATCTGATTCAATGATCTATGCTAAGCTAAAAGTGCTCTTGCTAGACCTAGAGATCTGCTAAATGGCTTCAAACATGGTAAATCTTGACTGTTTAACTGTAGGAGAGTGTAAAATTGGCATATCCCCCCCCCTTCAAAAAAAGTCCCATAAACACCTTTAATACTCTTTTATCACCCATTTTAACACTCTGCATGGGACTCGATGGCTATCATTCAAACGTTTGCATGGTTTGTTTTACAGAAAGTCTGGAAAAAGTCTTCACAAACTCTCACACAAGCGGTCAGCACCAGAGTTTATGTATGCATATCCAACAAGCAAAGACAAGTGCAATCAAACGTGTCTTGTGTGTGTGCGGTTGAAGATGATCATTTACCCTTTCGTTATTTTTCTAATATTTTCCAAGTGCTATTCAATAGCTGGAACACCTTTCTGATCATCATAGTTTTGATAACTCATCTCTAATAACTGATTTCTTTTCTCTTTGTCATGATGACAGCACATAATATTAGACTAGATATTCTTCAAGACACTAGTGTTCAGCTTAAAGTGACATTTAAAGGCTCACCTAGATTCATTAGGCAAGTCGTAAGTGTAATTAAGTGTATGTGTGTAATTGTGTTAAATTAGGCAGGCAAGTAAGTAGGTAAATAAGTAGGCAAGCAGGTAGGCAAGTAGGTAGGTATGCAAGTAGGCAAGTACGCACGCCGGCAAGTAAGTAGGCAAATAACTAAGTAGGCAGGCATAGTAAGTAGGCAGGTAAGTAGGTAAGCAAGTAGGCCAGTAAGTAGGTTGGCTAGTAAGTAAGTAGGCAGGTAAGGAAGTAGGTAAGCAGGCAAGTAAGTAGGCAAATAAGTAGGCAAGTAGGTAGGCCAGTAAGTAAGTAGGCAGGTAAGGAAGTAGGTAAGTAGGCAAATAAGTAGGTAAGTAGGCAAGTAAGTAGGCAGGCTAGGAAGTAAGTTGGCCAGTAAGAAAGTAGGCAGGCAGGCGTGTGTGTGTCTGTCTATATAAGTGTGTGTTTAAGTTGTTGTTGTTGGACAGTTGTTAGTTTATTTTGCTAGTGTTTCTGGAGTGCTTGTTCTGCAGTAGTGAGGATGTTCTTTAATTGCTGTGGCTTTTATTTATGCAGATAGTTTAGTTATAGCTTGTTCCGCAGTTGTGTAATTAATTAAACATAAATATAAAATAATAATACACGAGTAAGTGAGTTTCCAGAATAACAATAAAATCTGAAATGTCTTTGCTGTTTAACAGCACTTGGGAAATATTTAGAATAATTAATATTTCATAGTAGGGTGAGTTTTGTCTTCAACTGCATATTTGTGATTTTGATTTCAAATCTCTTAAATTGCTTATTTAAATGACACCATAAATGACAGTAAAGACTGATTAATATTATCCCTCATAATGCATTCAACATGCTTTTTACATGATATAAAATATAGCTAATGTAATGCACTAATCTTTTAAATAAAATTATCCATCATTTTTGACCTGAACATATTCTTTACCTTTAGTGTCAAATACTTTTCTAAAAAGACAAACTTATACTAAATTTCTGACCCTATTGCCAATGATTTTAGTTAATCAGCATGTATACGTTTATGTATACATTTAATAATGAACCATGTCAGTGTTGTAAATGTATTCATTTTATAAAAGTGTATTTAATGTAATCATTATGTAGGATTAACTATATATTATATTTTATTAATTTTAATATATATATATATATATATATATATGGTGAAATTTTGGTAACATTCATAACTTTATTATTATTATTTTTTTATCTTATTACATTTAGTTGTTTTTTATTAATTTATTCATTTTATAATATTTTTATCTTCTAATAGATACTTTTAAGTGTCATGGTAACATGGTGGTAACATTTATAACTTTTATTAATTTATTAGTATTATTTTCAGATTTTTTTACATTTTAAGAATATATGTAAATGTATATTTTCCCTCTGAGAAATTTTATCACCTACAGAGACCCGGAATATATATATATATATATATATATATATATATAAATATATAAATGTTTTTTTTTTTTCATTTATTTTATTTTTTATTTATTTATTTTTTTTTTTAAGGTTTTGCGTTCTCTCAACTGTTGTTCCACAAACACGTCCTGCTCGCTTTATACATGTCAACCCTCCCGTTTTGCTGGAATTTCCTATCTATATCATCCTATCAAGTATTTTCCCATATTTAATTTTTTTTTTAATCTTTAAAGCACGCTGAAATTAATCTAAACCGTCTGCATTCAATTTCTTTCCAATAAAGTTGTGCGTCGTTCATCGCCCTTCATATGCAACGTCTGAATTGAGAGGAGTCTGGATGCAGACCTGATGCAGTGCAGTCTGAGCTGCATCCAATGCTTTTTAATGCACTCACCTAACCCCACCTGCCACAGTGACGTCCCTCACTCCATTGAGTGCATTGTGTCTGACATTGCATCGCTGAGTGATGCAATCTCAGCTTGCATCTTGAAGGCTGCATGCCGATACTATTGTCTGAATCAGCAAATGCATGTACAAGCTCTGACTGACGGACACTCCGTATGATCCCAGATCAGCTTCTGTAAATTACGGGAGAATCTCAGCATAACAGGAGGGTTGACATGAAGTGAACGGCAAGTGTTTGTGGAACAACAGTTTTTTTCGGGAACGCAAAACATTTGCAAGGGAACGCAAAAACCTTAAAATATAGATTTTCCCATCACCTATTTATTTCTTCCTTCCTGTTTTTCCCCCACCATCACGTCCCTTCCGGGTCTCCATAATCACCAAATATATAATGTGGTTTTATCTGTGACCAAATATTAAGCGGTCCTCCAATAACACACACACATTTTGAATGCATTATGAGTGTTAAATCTACATTATTGATGCTTTAATAAAGTGCTATCAGTATGAGATGATCCTACACATTTAAATCTCCGTGCATTTCTTTGTTTTAATGTAAAAAGAAAACTGCATTCAAATCAAGTATGAAAGCATGCCATTCACCAGCACATTCATCATCCTGCATGTTCAACTGACTCGCTGAATCATTGCCTTGCGTTCTGCATGTTTGTGATATCCGAGCATCTCGAGCCGCTTTTCTGTGTCCAATAATCACGTCCGCTGGCTCCCGAAATCCCTGTGACCGGCCGCCTGATGCTCAATGAGCTCTGGTTATTCTTTTAGGACAACGTAAACCATTCAAAACAGCATCCGGCCAATGAGACGCAGGCTGAGAAATATAACCAGAGCAACACAGGTGGGTTTTTTCGGCTCAGGTGCGCCTCTTTAGCTCTTCTTCTGCAGACGGACACCTCCTGAAACATTGCATTTCACTCATTTTCATTCATCCGGTGTTTTCTGGCATCTGTTTGCATCTCTTCTCAGTTTTTGCATGCACACACAGCTGCACCGCAGGATATCTGTGGGTTTATTGGTGCAGCAGAACAGGAACTGAATGTTTGAGTGGGATTTCGAGCATTTTGCGAAAGGAAATGATTGCATTCTTTTTATATTTATTCATTTATTTTACAAATGCTTTCAATAAAAATGCCATGTTTGTGTCCACATACGAGTGGATTTTCCACATACGAGTGGACACAAATTTTATTAATTCTTGGCTAAACTTAAAAGTGTTTTTTTTATTTTTATTTTATTTAATTATATTGGATGCATTCTTGGTTCTTTTTTTTTTTTTTTTTTTTTTTTTTTTTTTTTGTATTTTATTTATTTGATTATTGGATGCGTTCTTTGTCCTTTTTGGTTTTCTTTTTTGTTTATTTATTTTATAGTGTATGCATACTTTGTCCTTTTCCTGTTATTTATTTAGTCATTTATTTATATTGGATGCGTTTGTCTTCGTTTAATTTTTGTTGGTTTATTTATTCATTCATATTGGATACTTTGACCTTTTTTTTGTTAATTTATTTATATTGGACACGTTCTTTATCTTGGTTTTCTTCTATTTTTTTCATATTGGATGCATACTTCATTCTTTTATTTCTGTTTTATTTATTTATTTATTTATATTGGATTCCTTCATTGTCCTGTTTATTTATTTATTTTATTTATTTATGTAGTTCTTTATTTACATTGATTGCATACTTGTCCTTTTTTTATTTATTCATTTATATTGGATACATACTTTGCCCTGTTTTTTTTGTAATTTAATTTGTCTATTGCGTTCTTTGTCTTACTGTGTCCTTGTTTATTTATTTATATTTGATGCATACTTCGTTCTTTTATTATTTTAGTTATTTATTTATATTGGATGCGTTCTTTCTGTCCTTTTTTGTTGTTTTTTTCTTTTTTTATTACATTGGATTACTTGTCCTTCTGTTACCTTTTTTGTTATCTATTTATTCGTATTGATACATAATTTTGTTCTTCACATTTTTATGTAGTTTATTTCTTTATTTATTATGGAAGTTTTTGTGCATTTTTATTTATATATTTATTCATAGTTTTATTTTTATAAGCAGAGTTGTTGGCTGAACTCAACTTAGAATGCATCTTTTTTTTTTTTTTTTTCTTTATTTAAATTTTTTCTGGACACCTATCCAATTATACTTTTATTGTATTTTGATTAAGATATATTTATAAACTTTTTTTTTTAAAATGTTTATTTATTTATCATTTTTTATTAACATTTAGTTATGTAATAAAAAGAAAAGGCTAGGAATTAATATATATATATATATATATATATATATATATATATATATATATATATATATATATATATATATATATATATATATATATATATATATATATAAAATTATTATTTTTTTCCATTGAAACCCAAAATAAGTTAACTGGTTTATGCTAATATAATTGCCACGAGAAAAGTAAATAATATTTGACAAGATATTCTTCAAGATATTCCTATACAACTTGAAGTGATCCTGCTGAAATAAAACAAAAGATTTTCTCCAGAAGAACAAATATTATCTGACATACTGTGAACATTTCCTGAATCTGTTTAACATCATTTGAGAAATATTTCAAAAAAGAAATTCAAAGGCTAATAATTCTGACTTCAAGTGTGCGTGTGTGCGTATATAATTATGTTTTTGTTTAAATGAGCATTAAACTAATAGTTTAGTAAATATACATTTACATTATGTTGTTCATGTACTTATTGGCTACGTTTCTGCTTTGTGTGTGAATTCAGACCTGTTTTAAGTTTACATGTTTTGGAAAATCACGAATTTGAGTTCATACCAACTATTTTATTTACGAACTAGTAAAATGGCACTCATGGGTAGTGTTTTTTTATTTATTTTATTTCATTTTTAATTATTTTTGCTGCCATTCTTGAATGGTTTAGTTCAGACAATTGGAGGAACTTTTTCATTTTATTTATAAATTTTTTTGGCTTTCACTGACATGTTTTTCTTTTTTGATGGCAGGTAAAAAGTAAAACGAGTGGTTCGTCCAGCACAGATGTGGATCCATCCAGCACAACCAGTGAAAAAGCCCCATTACTACAGTCACCAACCAGCTGAACCATCATCCACATTCACAATATTTAAAAGTTCCACAAATAAAGCTTATTTTATTATAACAAGCTGTGGATGATTGGACTGGATCCAGTACAGATGATGCATTATGAACTCTTGTGTGTGTTTTTGTACAGCGGTTGGGTTCTCCATGGAGTTTGCATTACATTTAGCATTGAAAAACTGAGCATCTGTGTTATGGTCTGGGTTAGTTAAATATTTTTATTTTGAAAATACTTGAATATACAAGATTGTGAAATGGTGCACACTAAAATTAAACAACACTGTCTAAACACTCTAATTTCCTACCAGGAAAAAAACTATTCAAAGTTATCCTTTGGTAACCTTTAATCTATTGTAAAAAAAGGAAGTGCCTTGAACATTTTCTGACAATATCGTGCCATTATTAACTTAAATATGCTGTCACAGCAGATAAACATGCTGAGCATGCATATTTCCCAATACTTTGAATACATGTGTTGATAATCAGTTTTTAAAGGTTCTCAGAGGATGTAAAATATTGTTAAATGTCCATGTGTTTGCGTTTTTCTGGCTGTTATATAAAATGAAATATTTTTTTTTTTTTTTTGTATTTGAGGTTTATAGTTTCAGATGTTGTAAAAACTTTGGACAAAGGACAAAAAAAAGCATGAGCCATATGAGCCGAAATGTTTAACACCTTATAAATGGCGCTTTTAATTGTGTATCAAGAGATTATGACTGTTTTTACTAAACATGTAATTGTGGACTGAATAAATTGCGTTTCACATCAAAATCAGATATAAATGTGGAACAAAATAAGCACAATTTCAAACTCTTTATTGCTGGAAGCCTGGTTGAATGATTCTGGAGAACATTTGTCTAAGATTAAAACATGTAAGGAAAACAACCGTGTACTATCACCACGGATAAAATTCATTCGCCTATCTGAGGTGGGTTTCGTTTTGCCGCCATTTTCGTCGTCAGTTCTGTTTTGCCGCGCAAGATGGCGGCAGCGAGCAGCAGTAGAAGCGGGTTCGTGCTGAAGGCGAAACGTTTTGCATTTGAAGGTAAATGTTTGCTCGTTTTGTTTGTTTTTAAGCAGCCAGATTTCATTTATTTGATCTTAATGTTTGATGCAGAGTACGGTGATGTTGAGGAGATGTGTCTCGGTAAATATTTTGTTGTGTTTTCAACAAGGAAGAGGTCCTTATACGTGAGTTTTTAAGTTATAAATGTTTTGTTCAGATTGTCACAGGCCAGGCAACTGTTTTGTAGCCTTTCAGAATTAACCTTTCTCTTCAGTTCGTGTAAATCTCGATTTTTGTAAATTATATTGGATCAGATAACACTATGATACAGTAGGCCTGTGATTATTAGGCCTATGACCAGACTTCCACCTTCAGTTCAGGCTGGTTTGTATTATGAGTTTAAAAATTGGACTTCTAGACCTAAAATGTTCTGTTTTTCCAATTTTTCTACTATAAAATATGTAGTGTGCCCATAAAAAGAAATACATTTTAATAAAGTAAACATAACTATTGACTTTTAATGTAATGTGATAATCGGCTTGTTAGGAAAGTCTATTTGTTAATATCTCAATCATCACTGCATTGCATTTTGTTTTAAAGGTGCAGAGCTTTTACTTTACGAGATAGGCTGGTTTTAGCTGGTCAACCAGGCTGGTTTTAGAGGGGTTTTGGCCATTTCCAGCCTGGTCTTAGCTGGTCAGGCTGGGAGATGACCAGCTAAAACCATCTTGACTTGCCTGCCTGGCTGGGAGCCCAACCAAAACCAAAACTGGTCAAGCTGGTTTTAGCTGGATTTAGCTGGTTATTTTCCAGCCTGACCAGACCAGGCTGGAAACCAGCCTGGAAATGGCCAAAACCCCTCTAAAACAAGGCTGGTCAACCAGGTAAAACCAGCCAACCAGCCTAGGCTGGTTTAAGCTGGATTTTTGAGCAGGGCGTTATGGATGTGACTGAAAAAGTCTGCGAGTTTACAGTAGGGCTGCACAATATATAGTTTCAGCATTGATAAAGCAATGTGAACATTCGCAATAGACATATCACAGAATCTGAAATATGCAGTCAGAATTCACTGAAGCCACAATTGAAAAAAAAACTTGATTAATTGCTACCAAAAATGGCGTTATTTGCATATATATTTAGGGTCTCAGACTGTGTAAACATTCCAAGCAAGTTTTAAGCAATTGGGCACAATAAATTATTATGTTTATAACTTTAATAAAGATTATTAACGTTTATAAAGTGTTATTTTATATTTGATAATTTAATGGACTTGAATACTTCTAGACTCCCAGAAAACTTTGAAGCACCGTTTAATGTATTTTTATTTTTGCTACTGTATTTACAAATACTTGTGATTGGTTTATTATATTTTATCCAGATGTAGGCATGAGCTGGTATAATGTGATTACTGCTCTAAAATAAAAATAAAAAACTATATCTTTTTTTTTCTCTCCATTGAACACAATATATTTTATTTTAGGAAACCAGTATTATAGTTTTGACAGTGAACATGTCAGGCTAAATAATAAAATTAAAATTGACTTCTGCTATCTTCATTAGTTTCCAAAATCACAGGTTTCTTTACAACACATCAGAAACACACTAAAAACCTTTACATATACCTTAGTAATGGTATAATCAGCCTGATCTCACGAGGAAACGTAAGTATTTTACGTTTTGTCAGTTTAGAGTTCAGTCGTACAAAAATGTACGAATTTAAAAAGGAGGCGTGGCACCTAACCCCAACCGTCATTGGGTGATGAGCAAATCGTACTAAATGGTATGAATTAGATCGTACGAATTCATACGAAATAGCCACTAAATCAAAAGTTACGAATTGCCGTGAGATTGCGTAGGTATAACACAAAATCTGGCGATTTTAAAACCTTAGATTTGTGTATGAGTGTGTGAATGAGTGTGTATGGGTGTTTCCCAGTACTAAGTTGCAGCTGGAAGGGCATCCGCTGTGTAAAACATGCTGGATTAGTTGGTGGTTCATTCCACTGTGGCGACCTCTGATGTATAAAGGGACTAAGCTGAAGGAAAATGAATGATTGAAAAAATATCTTAATTTCACGACACCTTTAACTTTAATCAATTCAACTCTTAAGCATGTCAGACCTAATGTGCAGGAGCAGAAATGGCACTTGGCCTGTCTGTTTGACGGTGGTTTAATCGATGAAGTTGGTAAATGTGTGTAGACGTGACCTTTACTGTGTTTCAATCGCATGTCCTGAGGGGGACGCCTGTCTCTGTGTTTCTTTAACCACAATCCTGTCCTGCATCTGAAATCTAGTGTGTGGACACTGCAGTGAATCATATCACAAATACTTCAGTCAGCAAGTCTTTTGTGGAGCTTTGATTTAAAGAGACAGAACACCCCAAAATAACGGTTGTGAATGGTTATGAATGTCTTTCTTCTGTTGAACATGAAACAAGATACTCTGATGACTGATTAAAATAAAGCTAATAGCCGTGTTTCCATCCAAAGATGTAATTGAGCAATTGACCTTTCGCTAAGCCACACCCAAAAACCGCCATCCACCAATCGTGGCTTAGCAACCGTAGCTTCGCAGGAGCTCTGTCAAGCTGTCGAGCGAGGGAAACAGACCAGAGCGTTGTGCATATGGATTGTGCAAGTCTGATACTTGAATGATACCTGAATGTTTTCCCTTTTCAAAACCTAAAACCCAAGAGGAGAAATGCCAGCGTGGATCAAGCTGTGTGAGGGGCGCTAAATGAGCGAGATAAGTTGGTTTTGTTTTGATATTCCCGACACATTCAGTGATAGACAGACAGCAATAATTCACACACCTCTTACCCTAAACAGATCTAAACTGTGTTTCCTACAACAAATACAAAGCAGGTCATGTTTCACAGCCGTCTTTCTTTTTTTTTTTGCTCGATATTATGAGTAATGCTCAGTTTAAGCCTTCGCCATAGTAACAATAGTCATGCTAATAGCGAATAGGTCATGAGTTATTGATCCAGAATCTGCGAATCTGTTGCTAAATTTACTGAACTTCATATTTCTATTTCAAGCTACGAAGATTTGAAATTGCAAATCAACAGAACAAAACCGAGATATGATCACAAACTGAGCAGCTGCGATAAATATACTTCACCCGCATCTGTTTCTCAGTCATTTATAAAGAGCACACACACACACACACACTGACAGTAATAGGTAACTTACTTTACACTGTTATGGGTCAATGATGCTAATATTCAGCACAAATCCATCAATTTCTCCTTTCTGGCTGTTCTATCTATGAATGCATGATGCAGAAGCACTGTCCGTGCGTGTTTCCTTGTGGGCTGGTAACGCTATTTTTCATTGCACAATTAATCTATCAGGCTTTTTGGCTAAAAATAGAGAAATCAGAGAAGACTGCATCTTGAGAATCAGCCATAGTTTCAACCCTAACTAAACACACCTGATCAATCTAGTTAAATGCTTTAGGCTTGTTTGAAACCTACAGACAGTCGTGTTGAAGCAAGGCTTGAACTTATACAGGGCTGCGGCCCTCCAGGACTTGAGTTAGACTCCCCTGGTATAGATTGTACTGCTGCCTTATATAGAAAGATTAAAAAATGGGAAATATTTAAAGAAAATGATGGCAGGATAGCATGGTAAAATAGGTGAGAGTCTCAGGAAAAACGTGAGGGTTGCAGTTATACTGAAAAAAAATCTTCATTAGATCTACTATTTTTTTATTTATTTAAGTGCTTACAGGGTGAGGCAGTGGCGCAGTAGGTAGTGCTGTCGCCTTACAGCAAGAATGTCGCTGGTTCGATTCTCGGCTCAGTTGGCTTTTCTGTGTGGAGTTTGCATGTTCTCCCTGCCTTCACGTGGGTTTCCTCCGGGTGCTCCGGTTTCCCCCACAGTCCAAACACATGCAGTACAGGTGAATTGGGCAGGCTAAATTGTCCGTAGTGTATGAGTGTGTGTGAATGTGTGTGTGGATGTTTCCCAAAGATGGGTTGCGGCTGGAAGGTCATCCAACTTGCTGGATAAGTTGGCGGTTCATTCCGCTGTGGCGACCCCTGATTAGATACTAAGCGACCCCTGATAAATATACTAAGCCGACAAGAAAATGAATGAATGAATAAGTGCTTACAATTAACTTAAATGGGCTGAATTCAATCAATTGACGTTGAACATTACTGAACTTAATTTGTTTGTGTTACGTCCTTTTAGATGTTAATGTTAAACTAGTGTACATGCTAAAAATGCAGGGTTGTTATAAACCACCGTTGGGTCAAATATGTCCAAACACAACCATTGGCATTGTTTTTAGTGTGTGTTAATTTCTGACTTGTCAGCGTTTGTATTGAATTTGTTTGTTTTTGTTCTGATGGTTTGGTGCAACTCTCCAAATATTTCATGTATTGATGCTTGCATGTTTTATTTATTCATTTGTTTGTTTATTTATTTGTTGATTTAATTATTTATTTGTTTATTTGAGCTTTAAATGACAGCAACAAATGTACATGAATACAAAAATGTTCCAGTATTAGCCTAATGAAATAAAACAATCAATACATGATACAATATATACAAGCTTCAAGATGCATATTAACTCACAGCATTCCTACAAATCAACAATGCATTAAAATGTACTAAACTTATATCTGCCAGATACAAAATAATCAATAAATATCAATATACAGGCAAAGACAATATAAGAGAAGCGCCATAATGATATTGCATCTATTGAAGTGTTAATGTGGAATATATGCGAACATTATTGATTGATCTGTTTGATGGAGATGAGCTCGATTTATTCGTCCTCA